TTTTCAGCAACTGGATCAATCATGTGTATCTATACAGTACCAAGTGCTTAAATATTATATGATAAAAGTGCAAAACATGCCTACAATTACTCTGAAAAGTTAGTGGGTGAGAAAAGTGAAAGGCTGATAAAGAAAATATAAGAAATGGGCCCTAAGAATACAATGTTCAAATGATGTGGAAATCTCAGCTGCATCCATGGTAGGGTAGTTGAAGACAAGTTACATTTTGTTCTGTAAGGTTTTACGGAGTTTGTATTTATGCAAGACAAATTGCAGTATCATTGGCATCCCACCGTCAAAAAAGGGATTTCATATTCCAACAGTCAAGTCCTGCAATGAGTGAGAACTTTTACTAAAGATAATCAAATCTTCAAACACCCTTTAACAAGATATCCAAATTTGTGCAGTTGCAGAGAGAAATGGCGAAAAGAAAAGCAAAAGGATAGGAATAAAACAATCCAGCAGTACAACTTAGTGTGTAAAATCAGAATTTCATATTTTATATTCAAAGCTAAGTTAATGTGAAGGGAAGATAGCTTCAGAGAAATGCAACTTCAAAATTGTTTGAAAGGGTGTGGCCAGCCAGTTCGGATTAGATGTTTGGAATTGACAAAGTCTGAGCAGACTTGTCATCCGACTTAGTTAGCTCAACAATTTATACAATAGTGAAAGGAGCATTGGAACTTTGGCTTGTAATTAGTACAAGTTTTTTTTCCATCCAAATTCATGAACCTTTTCGTTAACCAAGTTTATTTAGTACAAAAAATTCAAGCAGATTTATCTCTTAATAATTATCACTTTGACAAACCCTCAGGACCCCAGCCAGCAACAGCAACAAGAAGCCAAGCCACAAAAGCAGACACAATTTCTTTTTACCATTACCATTATTGTAAACATCTTGGATAAAGACAAGCTTCATTATCTTATCAAAATCTTTTGGATTTCCCATCTCTTTCTATTTGCTCTGTGCATCAGTTCACAACCACCTATGAAAATATATTTTTGCATTTTCCAGAATCTTTGCTTTGCTTCACTTCAACACCTCAATTAATGGATATAATCACATCTGACCACCCTTTTCCTTGTTTATGTAAAAATGCCCTCATTTCAAAATCCTTATATCATCCACGTTCACATGCTGAAGCTTTTGCAAACAGTGGCTGAGCCACCTTATAGATCACTTGACCCCCAAGTAGAGATGAGGCAAATGCTTGCAAAAAAAAAATGGTTATGCAGAATAAGAACATAGAAAGAAGCAGCACACTGGATAATTCTCTATTTTTGCCACTTGGTTAGAAAATGTAGAAACATACACTAGTACTACCCATACTAGCTCATGCCTTGACGGTCGGTTGAAGGATAATAAACACGTAAAACTAGTTAGCAAGTCCAATAGCAACAGAGCTCTTCATGATCCTCACCCTTCTCCAGGTATCAGTAAACATCCTGAAATAAATCATAAACTTTGAATCGTGCTGCAGTGAACTGCCATTAGTTTATTTTTTATGCTTGGCAAAATTTGATTTTTATTAAAGAAAAATGCTCATTCAAGATCACCATATGTCTCGTTAAAAAACTCCTCCAATTAGAAGAGGAAAAAGATTACAATATGTTCATCAAGGTTACATAAGAAACACCTACAAAGACTTGTCTCACAACACTAAGCCAAAGCATAACCCATTAAAACGCTTCTTAACACCTTAAATAGCAGTCAGCCTTACAAATTAGCAAAAACCAGAATGCACTATGCAGCTAACAAATTCTTTTCTATAATCAATCCTTCAGATGGACACACACCGAATTTATTTAAGTAGAGAATAGAGCGAAAACAATAATAAACTGAATGTACCAAATTGTTCCAAGTCAGATTGATGCAGAGACAAAATATAACTCACTGAATTTGAACATGCACGGCTAGATTGGGAAAAATAATTGCAGGTCCAAAGAAATGAATTTTAGTTTTTCTTATCTACAGATAGCAATAGCATACATGTTCTGGCCAATGCAATTGTTTTACCTTTCCATTTCCGGCTGATGGTCAGTTAAACAAAGGGAAGACAAATTAATGGTCAGACCAAATTACATAGATGCATCATTTATGCACAATTTTATCTGCAGAGATAATGATCAGGGTTCTTCTCCATCTTTGAAGGGCTCATACAAAACCTTAGAGATAATGAAATTTATGGCAAAAACCATGCACACGTACTTGGTAGCAGCCTAGCAGGTGCTCCACTGTTACAAAAGAAAACAATTAATTAAACTTTGATTTTTTTATATTTAATTTAACTCTTAAATCAAAAATTGAGTAAAAAAATCACCGAATCATGAAATTAAATCAATTAATCCTTTTGATTAATTTTGACTGCTAAATGTTAACAATTTTTTCCTAATTATTCTTATCGTATGACATACTTCAATTCTATCCCATGAAGTTTATATATTTTAAAAGAAAATTACTTAAAAATTATTAAAATATAAATTTATGAAGAATGTAGCACGGTAACACCGTGACAAGACATGAAAGGCCAAATGATCTGAAAATTTATTAGATTTAACCATTAACATTGGTAAAATAAAAGATAAAATCATGAAATTTCAAAAACATAAGAATTTAATTGAATGTATAAAGAATTTTTTAATTCAAGAAGTTCTTATACCCTTAAACCTAATTAAAATTAGAGAATTAAATTAAATTAAATATACCATATTTAGTAATTGAGATTCAATTCTATCCAATCAAATTTGATTTTATTTTAATCAAAACCGGAAAACTTAAGAGCACAGGTGTTCACAATCATGCAAAAAATGGAATTTCATCAAAGCTAACAGCTGAATGAATAATCAGATCAGATGATAAAATATAGTACTAACTATATATATTTGCAGCAGGTAAGCACGAAAACGTGAACCAAAGCATGACCTTGGAAACTAGTTATCTGCACCCTCCAAACAAACAACCAATATTTCCTGAATTAAAAGAAAACTATATTATTACATTTTTTCTTGGATTCGGTGTCCTTGTCTATCCCATACAAACACTCAATCGCAGCAAATGAAACATGGAACTATTGCTGTCTTAATACCTATACGTAATTCCATTAAGTTGTAGAAAAATTATAAACAACACGGCATAAAATACTGAATAGGAATAAGGAGATGTATAACAATGGAAACTAATAATTAACATAAATTCCAGTAATATTTCGCCACAATTTAAAATATCTCGACAAAAGTCACTCTAATGGTAATGAACCAATCGACACAGGAAGAAGTGGAGGCTTTTTTGCTGTTATCTTAAACTTTTCAAGTGTAGCCGGTTCACATGGACAGGCCATAGCTAGGAACCTTGGAACTTCATCCCCTGGCATCAGTACCGGCAGGCCTTGCCTTCTGATTTTTAAGCGGTACTCAATTGTAAGTACACCGAAAGTTTGTATTTTTTTTAGCCATGGAAAAATAATTAGGCTACAAAAATAATCCGGTGGTGAGTGATCGGTATCCGATGGAGTGTTGTGGTTTTCATCATCTGAAGATCGGAGAATAAGGGACTGAAGCTTGTGCCAGTTGACGCAACTGATAAGGAACCCGCTTATGCAAAACAATAAGATTGAAAGAAAGATGAAACCTAGTGGGAACGCTATGAATGGTATACTTGAATACGATTCTGCATTTTTCATCTTTTTTATTCTTGTTTTTCTTCGTTCGGAGGCAAGATATGCAGAAAATAGGGGAAGCACCGATGGTGAAAGTTTTAAAATAAATAAATAAATAAATAAAATTTGGTTGAACTTGATAACAGTATTCGTGGGATTACTGAATACTGAGTGCACTTGATCAAGCACCGAAACTAAGCGTTCCTTTTGCTGGTGATTATATCTACACGAAAACATAATTACCCACTCCTTAGATTTCTTGAATATCTTCGGATAATATACTTCAAAGAATTAAATTACTACTATACATGTATGCATGAAAAAGCTTAATTTATTTATTTATCAAATATCTAAATTCAATGTTTAGCATTCGAAGACGAAGTTGAGGGTGCCTTTAATGCAAGCTGAGGAATTAAAAATGAAAAATATATATTAGTACTTGATTTCAAATGTTCAAGATGAAGAATAGATGGATAGATAGAAAGATACAATAATAACATAACCTTCTCTGGTAATATATTGAGTGACTTTGGAATTTGATTTTTTGTTCCTTTATTGTATTGCATATGTTAGGTCTGCTTCATTCCAAAGTAATTAAAAGTATTGTTATTTTTTTATAGGTCTCGAGTTCGAATACGACATCTATAATATGCATGAATATTTGAATGTTTATTGTCAAATATCATAATTCCTTTGTTTAGTCTAGCAATTGGGCATTATATTTACCCCAAAGGTCCCAAATACAATTTCATTGAGCTTTAAGTATTTTCCTTTAGTTTTTCACTAATGATATGGTGAAACATGTCATAGTTTAATTATTTATATTAATTTATTAAAAATAATATATAGAAATATTAACCCAACTATCGTTGATATGTGAACATACTACATCAATGGTAATTGAAATGATTTTTTTTAACGATAATAATTATAATAAAAATTGTTAGATTTTGATGGCTAAAATGAAAAGTGTTAAGAATTCAGTGACAGGTGTAGTCGAACTTTCCATATCATTTTTTTTTTCTGGCATTGCAAGACAGAATTGCATGCAAAATCCCCAGGAAAATCTTCAGGGCTTCACCTCAATCTCAATTGAGTTTTCCAATTTTTGGAACTCTACTTGTCATTACCAGCATATGTCAACACCATTCTGCCATGTGATATAAGAACCCTTAATTATTAAAAGTCTTGTACTTATGCAGAGCTGTCTCTGCATGAACAAACCATGAAGCATCTGCAGCTTAAGCCTGAAAAAAGCTCCCCAATGCATGAGATATGCAAATACACCTGTCTCTTTCTGCTCTTTAATGCATCACTGTGATCGGATTGCTTCTCTTACATTTTAGAGAGAAGAAAATGATAATAAAGAATTTTGTATTAATAAACAACTCCAGCTGAAATAGTTATTACAAATCTGTGATGACTTGGATTTTCTCTTATTTATGAAGGCAAAATTTACTAACAATCCATCAACTCAAAAGCTCATTCAAAAAGTCACAGAGAATTTGGGAATAAAAAAAAGGAGAAAATAACATAAAAATCACCAAAAAGTTGCTTCCCTTGTAGTCTAATTTTGATCCTACAAACATCTTCCTGCGTAGCCAGCATTTCTAAACAATGTTTGCTTTATGTCCTCAGAACTTGTTAATGTCCTCTGTTTCAAGTCCTGCAATAATGACCAAAACGCCTGTAAGATGAGTGTTTCAGACAGAATTAACTCCAGACATTACCAGTTTTGGTTTTTTATTACCTCTGAGCAAGAAGCTTGCATTGCGAAATCATTGAAGCAGCTAATAACACATTGTTCAATCTCAAGCCCTAATGCTTCCAATGTTGTTAAAGTTGATAACAACAATCCCTGTTTCCCCGAGCAACCAATCTCAATCCTCGTATCCACGTCTCTTCTTTCCACCTCAAACTGCAAAAAAAGCAAGTTTGGGTACACCAATTCCGGGTTTGGGTGTTTGAAATAAGGTTTCACCTGAAATGTTGCAGGAGAAAAGCAGTACCTTTGGTGTCTTTCTCACCAAGATGTCATTTGGTTTTATTTCATTGAAAATGTGAGCCATTTTTAACTCACTTGAGCCTGCTTCGATTTCTTGCTGCAAATTTGTGATCCTCTCTAGAAGCTCCTTTGTGTAATCTATGGTATCTCCAAGTATGGATGTCCTATCCATCTGTTGAAACATTAATAGAAGAAAAAAAAAACAGATAAGTCCCCAAAAAACGACTTTCATTTTAGCGCTAAAAGACTGTCTCGTGGATATCTTGCCTTGCTTATCTTAGGAACAATCGACCTTAACATGGAAAGGCGGTCGTTTAGGCGCTTTCTTCTCCTTCTTTCCGCCATCAGATTCTTCGACGGCTGGCCCTTTAATTTCTTGGCTCGATTGTTACGGTCTGTAGTACTGCAGGTCCTCATGTTGGAAGGCGCTTCAGGTGATTGAATAGGCTCAGCTTTGCAAGCAGTTAGCGCTTGTGCATCCAGCATGTGAAGTTCATGTACGAGGAAGCCGGATTCTGTTTCCTCCACCATATTGAAGCAGTCTTGAATCGGAAATGGCGTCGTATCGAACGTGTTGTTCGAAGTGTCTGTCAGTTGTGGTGCTGCACAGAATTCATCGCCGAATGGAACGTCGTAGACGTTGTTGAAGTTGAAACTCAAATCTTGGGAGAAGGAATCAGGAAGAAAACCAGCTGCATCATCAAAGCAATCAAAGTTGATGTCATTAGAGAAAATGGCATTCATTTCAGTTGGAACTGTGTCCCAATTGTCTCTTCTCAGGCCCAATAATTCCTCTAAGAATCCTTGTTCATTCATCTCCATCTCTCCCTCTATTTTTTTCCTTGCCTTTCTCTCTCTCTTGGCAATGCTATTATTACTAAAGATGCCTTGAGGAAATGAAAATCTGAAACCAAGCTTAAGAATTTATAGCCACAACACATTTGAAGTGGGATTATACCCTATGATTATTGTTTGAAATTATATTGTATTAATTTAGCCTTTAAGTGTAGGCCAAGATTGCAATGAAATCTACTTTAGCCTGATTCTCTCTCGGCAGCTGTGCAAGTCATTCACTACTATAATATTTTGTAATTTAGGTCTATTCAAATTTCAAATCACCATTGTTAAGTAAAATAATATTTTAGGAACTTATGTTGTGCGGCGCCTAAAAAACGGCTAAAAATGGTGTGACCGGTTAAATAAGTGGTCGGTTAAAATTTAGATCGGTTATGTTATATCATTTAACCGGAAATATTACCAAGCACAATAACATATTAGGTAGCGCTTAGATAATGTAATAGGTAGCGCTTATATAATAAAATAGGCATTTAACCGGAAATATTATCAAGTACAATAACAAATTAGGTAGCGCTTATATTGACATATTTTCTCATAAAAACGGTAAATTTAAATCGGTTACATTATAAATTGACATATTACATTATAAATATCGGTTTCGATGTTTTCAGGATCGATACAATTTTAAATGTATCGATATTTTATGCGTGCAACTAGATTGTGCTTTATTTTGGAAAAAAGTATCGACACATATTTAAAGAGTGTTCGATAATAATGTAGACATATTTGCTAATTAACCGGTATATTTAACCGGTTACATTGTAAATTTACCTGTTACAAATAATATCGATTTTGATGTTTCGAGGATCGATACTTTTAAAATGTATCGACACTTATGCGTACACCTCGTTTGCCATTCATTTTGAAAAAATGTATCGACACAAATTAAACAAAGTGTCGATACTTTATGTTGACCTATTCTCTCATGAACCGGTATATTTCTACCGGTTACATTGAAAATTTACCTATTACATTATATTATCGACACAAAATTAATAGTGTCGATACTTTATGTTAACCTGTTTTATAATAAACGGTATAGTGTACTAGTTACATTGTCAATTTACCTATACATTATATCATTGTCATTAAAATAGTCTAATTTTACCACATTGTAATTTTACCTATTACTTTAAAGTTATTGAATTCTGTAGTTATTGTACATACCTGAATATGTCCTGTAAATTTAATGTTGTACCACCCTTCACTACCACCACTGCCAATACCACATCCTATTGAAAGCACCACCGAAACATGTTCAATGAACCTTTACTTACATACATCTCCATCAACTCCTGTTGGGACTACTGAAATTGCACAACAAAATTTTTGCCAAGGATCATATTGATGTATACAATGTTAAGCCAACCGAGGAATGCAATAAAATACATAATGTTGATGAATCTGACATATTGTTGGTAAGCTCTTCTCTTCACGTAATCAAGCTTGCTACTTTACAAGGAATTCGCACAGGATAGGGTTTAGTGCACGTCGGGGAACAACACGGCTGACAGGAAGGGAATGTGAAGACACAATAATTTTGTTGTTCCAAAGAAGGGTTCGAGTATCAAAAGTCAATACGTTGATCGTCAACGTGTCATACGCCAATCACAAGAACATGATGCAAGGCTAGAATCGTAGTTACATCAACAAACACAAACGATCAGGGGTTTATAATAAGTCTTATCAGAAACATAATTATGCATTGTGACACCTGCTATGAACCATTTATGCGTTCTAATAGAGCTGTAACTAAGGCTGATATCGATGAGGCAACAACATTGAAAGGTCGGTGTTGGCACGTCACAAGTATGAACTATTTAACGCAGCAGGCAGGGGCTATCATAATGTTAGATTTACACATAAAGACCTCTACAATGCACTTCAAAGAGGCAACGCAAAGGAAATCGTTGATGGGGATGTGAATGCGCTTATTGCTTACTTTGATTAAAGAAACATGATGATCCCGGGTTTTTTGTGACATACTCGGTAGACGAATCAGGGGCGTGCATAATCTTATTGGTCGGATTCACATCGAGATCAGATACATATGCTTCGGTGATGTAATTGTGTTCGATACAATTACATAAGTGTCATACTTTATGTGAAGTGTCAATACTTCGAGATTACATAAGTGTCAATACTTTTATGTGAAGTGTCAACTTTCGAGAAGATATTTACCTATTTCTCTAAAGTGTCGATACTTGTTACGCGTACTTATTAAAGTACCGACACTTTCAACATAACCGGTAGCGTTTTACCGGTTTTGTCATTTTAATACCGGTTTTATCATATTTTTACCTATTATATTGTTATGGATCGATACATTTTCTTAAAGTATCGACACTTTTTAGGCGCTATAATTTCTTCTCTTTTAAATTATGAAAGTGTCGATACTATATTAATTTATCGACACTTTCAATATATCCGGTATCTTTTACCGGTTTTATCATTCCGAGACCTCTTTGTCATATTATTACCGGATATATTACTATGGATCGATACATTTGTATAAAGTATCGACACTTTTCAGACGCTATAACTTATTCTCTTTTAAATTAAAAAAGTGTCGATACTTATATTAATTTATCGACACTTTCAATATATCCGGTAGCTTTTTACCGGTTTTATCATTTCGAGACCTGTTTTGTCATATTATTACATGTTATATTGCTATGGATCGACATATTTTTATAAAGTATCGACACCTTTTAGGCGCTATAACTTCTTCTCTTTTAAATTATAAAAGTGTCGACACTTATATTAATTTATCGACACTTTCAATATATCCGGTAGCGCTTTACCGGTTTTATCATAATGACACCGGTTTTATCATATTTTTACATGTTATATTGCTATGAATCGATATATTTTTAATTTGTATCGACACAAACCGACAAGCTAAGTTTGCCGGTTGCCAAATTTTTTAATATTTTCTTCATGATTTCCACCTACAACATTGTTATTACTCGATATTTCAGGTAGCGCTAAACCGAATTTATTAAATATATTATAATGTATCCGATAACGCCGTATATTAGCCCGCCTTTCCTGAGACAATCCCAATATTTTAACGTTTATTCAAACCATAAAATGAGTGTTATCCTTGAAAATGTGAAAATCAAGAGTAAGGATAATGCACAATAAAATTAAAAAAAATCAGGGCATGATTGGTGCAGTTTATGGAGAAGCCTGTTTCATGGACGGATGATTTCAAGTCATTAATATTTTAATTATGATCAAAATATATTAAAAAGTTATTAAACCATGTTTAAAAGATCATTTGAATTATTAAATTTTCATAAATAATAAAATAGTCATCATATTTAAAAAAAACTATAAAATAATCCATGATCAAATTATTATAATTTATTATAATTAATATATTTCGATAATTTTTTAAATTTAATTATCCTTTCATAATTTTAAATAATTTATTGATTAAAATAATTATTTGTGTGACTTACTTTATCCTTTAATTAAAAAGATCCTCCGAGAAATTTAACCCAAAAATATAGTTAACATGATAGGCCACGTAAGGCTGCTTGAATGGTTAAAGCGTGTTAATAATGTTGGCCTTTCGGCCATAATCATATAAAAAACCAAGCTCATGTCCCCCCACACGTACACGGAAAATTTGGTAATAAACAGGGGTCCCATTCTGCTTCTGCCTCTAGAATTATGCTCACAAGTTCATAATTAGTTTTGGTTGGCACTGTTTCTGTTGTTTCCTACCCTTTGTTATTCACTCATTTTGGAATTACGATACCGTTCTGCTTTGGATTATTATAAACTAATAACTTAGATTTGACTGTGCTATGGATACATGGCCTGCCCAATGTAGAACCTGCAACTCAACTGTGTGTTAAAGGGATGGTTTTGGCTGATTCACATAACTTTTACTGGGTGCATGAATATGTGGAATACTAGATTCCAATTGTCTACCCTCATTTTATTATGTCTGCTGTTTACCCCTCTGTCTGGTCTACCAGCAATGGCGTTACTTGAACGTGGCATTTATATGCTTGTCCCCTTCTCTCATTCCTTTATCATTTGGAATTCTTAATGTCCAGTTTATATTGTTAGTATAGATAATAATTTTAATAAAATAAAGACGTCAGTATTTGTAAGTATAGATAAAAATAATTTTATTTTCATAGGTATGACATCCTAAAATTCATACAATATTAATCTTACACAAGACATTGAGGGTTACTTTTTAATTATCTATCAATAGTGCTTTTGGGGGGGGCGGGGGGATACTGCCAAGCGAAGGAACTTGATGTTTGACCCTTCAGTGTTCACTTAATTATATGATGACAGAGAATCACCACCGCAGGCTTTTTATTGGAACTGAAAGCCGAGGAAAAAAATAAAAAGAAATACTAAAACATACGGTGAAATGGAAGTATATATGTGAAGTATAAGAATTGTATTCAGCAAAACAAGAATTGCAATATTTTATTACGTTATATAATATGAAGCACACTAGGGTTTTATTTCAAGTTCCAATGCTTCTTTCCTACTACTGTTAAGTCAGAAACCCTTTTCCTTAGCACATAGTTCTATGTGCTGTATGCTGCAAAAGAATATTAAAACTATATCATAAATCGCTGTAGAAGTGTGATTAAATGTCAGTTTACATGAATTAACTGGTTAAATTACGATCATTGACAAGCCCCACGAGAGCAAGATGGGGTAATTGTCATTATATCAAAGCATTGTAATCATACAAAAATGGGAATTCTCCTCAACACATCAAATCTTTAGGTGAGTAGGGGGAGTTTCTATATTCATTACCATTAATTATAATACTGTTTTGTATATATATATATATACATACGCAAGCCATGTTATTGAATGAATAGTACGTATAATGGTCCAGATAATAATTAATATTTCATTTTACTTTTATACTATTCCACGTAATACTCTAATTAAATATTTTTTTCTTAATTTAATTATAACCTATACTAAAAGTATCAATAACAACGCACGTGAGAGAGCCCCTTCCAAAAACCTAAATCTAACACGATGTCTGGCTTATTTTAAAATAATAAGAAAACAAATTAACCTTTTTTATGACTAT